ATCACCTTGAAATCCCTTAATACCCGTTTATAGTCTAAATGTTTTACTTGTAATAAATAGTTTATATAAAACAGTTCAATTAATCATCCTTAACCTAAAAAGAGTTAAAATGGAGGTGTACCATGATTTACGCAAAATGTGGATTTTAAATAGACCTAAACAAACTTCTAGTCACCTCCTTATATTTATGTCGAACTTGTTTTAAAGATAAAAGCCAAGTGTGAAATTTAATTTACTTAAAATATAAATTATCCGTGAATAAAAAAGATACGGTTCGCTATTTCAAGCCAAACTTCCGCTATCTTCTTTTCAGCTGATTAATATTCGAACAGTGTTCTTAAAACATACCAAAAGTATGAACTGCAAAAAATATCACTCTTACATAATTTGTTTTCCTTACATTGAAATATTTCAACAATAATATTTTTGTACACCAAAGAGGAAGTATGGTGGATATATTTACAGGCGTTTTTGTATGGACTCCGAAGACGTCTAGGTGTATTGAATACAAATGAAAAACCACCTAATACATCATCTGGCTTTTATTGTCAAGGAGTGGGTTTGAAACTTTATTCATCTCTGATACCCCTAAAAAGATAGTGATAGTGAATGATTTTGTCAAGTGCTGTTTCGATTCAGTCATTTAACGATAATGTACAACAAATTTTTAAAACAAATAGAATTTCTTTATCCTACGTCTTATCTTAGTTTCAATATGAACCCATCCTGGATTATGCTATTGGGTGTTACTAGCAACATAATCCCAAAATCTGGTTTTTCGTTTGTTGTTAAATTGGAAACAATTAAACAATTCATTGGGATGGTTCGGATAATTTGAATAATAAGAAACTTAGCTCGTAATATTTTAACCTACTCTCACTGGTAACATAAATACTAAAATTGATAAACACATATTGCTCTAATAGTTTAAGTGTATTGCTGGTGAATTTTTAAACAAATATCAGTCTTAGATTACTATATTTCCTAATTTATCCAAAAATTCTTAATTTAAATCCAGAAATTTATTGAGTCAGCAGGATTGCTAAGAATAAAAAAAATACACTATTTTCAAGTTATACTGATATATTAAGGAAAAAGTGTTATTTATTTCATTCTAAAATCCACAATAAACTCTTGGGATATGAGAAATAGGATTAAAAGATCCCAACGAAATACGCACAAAGCAGTGGATTACGTGCCACTAACAGATCAACAATACCACAAAATATAAAGAGAACTTAATTACATTTCTATTTTGACTCTAAGGGCTGTGTCATACTGTAGATAAAAGATAAAACCCATTGTATAATGTCAGTTTTAATCAAAGTTATTATATTTTACATAGCTTTTTCTGAATGGTTACACAAATCGTTATTGTGGGCTTTATTTATTTGTTCTCTGGTAAAAAAAAACATTTAGTTTTTTCTGGTCCAAGAAATTTTTTTAAATATTAGTACAGTTTAGAAATATACTTTCCTCTCTCTATAATTTTTCTAATATATTAATAATGTATTGAACCATTATTTTGTAAATTACCACATTGCTAAAACACTCATGATTTACGTGATTTCAAGTTTAATAGGGAATAATTTTCTGTATATCAAACTTATCAAATAATGTCACATAAGATAGTAAATTCACATAAAATGTTATTTTAGAAAAATTTTTCAATGCTAAAATCTGTGAAAATGGCAATAAAATTTACAGTTTATCCCACGCTGAGTGAATCTCACCTATCACAATGGACATGCAATTTCATGCCTGCCAATTCCTGGTTATCATCTTACTGGGACGTAGGATTGCGAGAGAAATCGTTTGAAATATTTATTTTACGATTAACATGCATGCATATATAGATTAAAGAGTAATACTATACGTATACTGATTATCAAATTACTTGATTTTCTTGAAAACCGCAAAGTATTCCAAGAAAATAAAATGACCAAACTAATAGAAACTTTTAACAATATGTGAAATATTCTTCTCTCTACACAATGATGATTAGTCAAATGTAATTAAAACATTTAAGCATGTTACGTATTCGGTTAAAATTGTTGTACCAATCTAAATAGGAATAATTAATTTGAAAAATGTCCTTAATACAGTTCAATTAGATTATATCGGTTTTAAATCAAACTTAGGATGTATTAAAACTTGATATTAATTTTTAAAATGTTATATGTTATTATCATAGTTTTAATAATTTTATTGACTTAATAATATTAAATACTATTTGATCATTTTCAAGTTCTAGATAACATGATGATTCATTTCACTTGGTTTTGCCACTAACAGCTATTTCGCATAATCAGTTAATAACTTAAAAAAATATATAACACTATATTTTACGACTTGTATTGTCATTTACACAAAAAAGGAATTAACGGGCCATAATTGAAAAATCTAAGAAGATATTAATTTCCATGCATCATATCAAATTTCGAATCACCCTTTAAGGTTTAACATCTTGCATATAAATAAATAGCCCTTCCTTAATTGTATTTCAAATTATGTCTCGTTGTTAAGGTCTGATTAATTGTTTGTCAAAAGGAAAGACAGTTTTAAAGCCTAAAGACAAAACCATTTTCATAAACGAACGTCATTTTACACACCATAAAAGATTACCGAGTCGTTAAACCTTTTTCATTTTGTGCCCTCACGTTTCACATAACTTTCCTTGATGGCGATCTTAACGTACACCTTTATTTTTCTTCTTCGTATAATATATTCGTAAAATCTTTCTTTCTACTTCCTAGATTTAACTGTCAATCGTAATATTTTATTAAATTTAAAGTAGTGTTTTTTATTCATATTAAAATTATTATTACAGATGTTTTCTACTAATTATTATTAGAACCGGAGATCCATGACGTTTTATTAACCGGTAGCAAAAATATTTCTCAATAAACTATTAAAAAAACATACTACTACTTTAGTTTATAAAATTTGAAGAAAAAAAGTATATTACGTTTTGAAATGTATGTCAGTTAAACAGGTCTTTTAAAAATTAAAACAATTCTCTCACTAAATTGATGCATGTACTTAGACTATAATGGTTATCACAAGATATTCGGTTCCTTTTATTTCAACTACAATTGTTCAATTTGTTTACTATTTTGATGTGTATTTCAAATTTGATAAAGCAAAAATACACACTACTGTCAAACTTGTTTTTACTGTAATACTATTTTAAGTAAAACCAAGCCCAACTATATGAATGAGAAAAATGGAATATAAACGACCAGTTTTTACACCGGCGTTGAGTATAACGGGCTCGGGGCAATTTCAGTGGTAATTATACAAACATGTGAGCTACGTTTTGATAACATGCAAAATTAGTATATCAGCAGGATGAGGTTATATGAGCCTAAATGGGATGCAACTTCACCAAATGTGTTTGAACGTTTACCTTATCATAATGGGTATACTGTTTAGACTAGTAATTAGGTATTGCTGGTTAAGTGCTTAGAGTGTGACATACACTAAAACCTAGACATTCCATCCCAATGTTAAACTCGTAGCCAGTTTTTTTAAACAAAATTGTCGTAGTTAATGTGAGCCACCGAAAGATTGTGCTGATCTTAATTACTGATTTCTGTCGAATACACAATCTTTTTTACCAACTCCAATTAATGGAATGACTTATTGTGATCTATAGCAACTGTTATGACCCATCAACTATGTCAGCCACAAAAAATAAAGTAGAAAAAAGAGTTTTAGTGACTAGCGCATTCTGTGACTCGCTCACACAATTACATTCTTATTTAACAAATAAAATGGCTACAGCTGGTCCATATATATGGGATGTCTACTTCAGTATCCAATGTTCAATGTATTTGCTAAAACTTAGGAAGACATTCGAATTACGCACCCGTTGTCGCACAGGAATCGGTCACATGTAACTTCTCATTGTTGGGAGCTAGGAAAAAACAACTAACTTGGCACCAACGATAACTTTATTACTTTCACACTGTTGGTGAATTTTTGTTTAAAATTTTGTACAAGTTCTTATTGTACCACTTTTATCTCAATCGTCAGTGACATAAAGGGGATTTAGCATTATTATCTGCACGATATATAAAATAAGAAAACGAAATACCAAAGAATCTGTTGGAGTATGAATCCGGAGCACACTTGATGAATAAAACATGTCGTGATTTTATCTTGACAATAAATGCCAGATGTCGGAACTGGGGTGGCTTTTATCTGTATCCAATACCTAACTTCCTTGCTGAGCAACTTTGGAACCTTGACTACAAGCATTCCTTAACATTTAAATTGAACCACCCAGCCCTTAGGAATATTTAAACATCAAACTGGCCACTAGTGATGAAATTACCTTAAAAATGTGATTCAAAGTGTAAAGGTAACCCATCTTGCAGCACTGATTATAGTGTATAAAACACATATGACTAAAATGCCACTGTACAAAAATACGATTGTGTTTTTATCGCTATTACCGTTGGGAATAATCTAAATGGTCAACAATAGTTAGTCAAATTCCACTATAATTTATCACAGGTTCAAAAAAAATTGAAATCAGATAGTTCAGGCGGTATTTACATTTAAAAGCCGTTATAGCCATCGTCCGTCAACAAACACAAGTTTAATAGTTAGAGTTAGTACCAGTGTCGATGTTAAACTTTTATTTTGTTACGAGGATATAATTACACTCTGAAGAAGATTCTACAATGTTAATAATTAGACCAATTCATTAACTATAAGGCAAAAACGTAGATTCCACAATAAACTTTGGGTCCCTTAGTTGCCATTGGCTGTATGGGCTATTAATTAACAGCTGTGTCCAGCGAATGTGTTAGTGACTAACACAAGACAACAAGATCACGCCACTCATCCTGCACTTATCTCCATCCATAATTAAAATACCCACATCCGTATGGTCGCCATTTCAAAGTAAATTATTAAAGTACAAGGATGTAAATATTAATTTTAAATATATATAAATATACATTCAATATTAATGATTAAAGAGTACTTACTTGGACCGGCACTCCCTGGTCTGTATGGTAACTCCTCCCCCACACGACCTCGTACAAGGGGTCCAGGGTGACCATGAAGACCACGACCCTGGTTGCCCCTTCACTATCCTCTGTTGAATCATCTGGTGGACCTGGGGACAACAGATGACATCAGCAACAGACGAATGTCTCTGGTAGCCAATAATATATAATAGACGCAATTGAGATTCTTGCAATTCGCCTATTGGCTCTGGTGATGATTGGAGTGTCCAACGAAATCGATCACCACTTAGTGTTATCTGTTGTATAATTGTGTACTTTTAGGCAATTTAATAAATTTTACGATACTGATCATGAATCTATTTAAATACAGAGTGGAGCATTGATAACTATAGGGCTACAACTTATTTTAGATACAAGATGATAAATATTGGAACAATGAATAAATAGCTAGCTGTGCTCGTTAACAAAATTGAACCATGCCGTTTTGAAACATGGCGTTTTGGAATCCTGAACTCCGTGCTTATTAACCGAGGGAGTTTCAAGATATTCGAAAAAATGTCAACACTTTTAAGGACGTCACTTGAAGGATGTTGTCTTCAGGATATAAAATCATGGCTTACCCAGGGCAAAATGGCATAAGATTACCTTTGTTGTAATGTGTTTTTTCCATCTGTTCTGTAAATATTATAGGTTTTGTGCTTGGTGGAAGGAAAAAACAAAGGTGTGCTATTCCCGTTATATGCTGACGTCACCCAGATTATAAACAAAAACCAGCTGATTGTATTGCCATATAAGTATATATTTGTTTTGATTTGATTGTTATTGTATTTATATTTTTTCCTAAGAAACGTCGTTTGAAATCTGAGTGTCGTCAGCATATGACGGGAATAACACACCTATGTTTTTTCCTTCCCCCCATGGGTTGTATGTTATTTATACATTTTATGATTCTTATTGAACCTTCCTGTATTTATTTTCTTAGCATTGCAATTGAAATATTTTCCGCTATTTTTACACATCGGAAGAAGTAGTGGTTTTTCTTATATTTCCCCAAACTTATGTAAGCTCTAAAAATAAATTTTGATTCACTAATTGGAAATTAAAATATAGTGTCTCTAAGGTTTTATTAGTTGACTGTATCATAAACTTCCAACCCGTCGCGGTCGTTGGTTGGACGATGAACTCAGACTAGACTGCGTTTGTTTCGGCTCCGCTTGTTCGTGCTATTTACAGTGGTTATTCTTTTAACAAAAATTGTGAACTCGGCTCATTGTTTGATTTAATACTGTAACAACTATTTGTAAATTTTTAAGAAAATCAAGCCATAATTAACGTAGTTTTCGCAGGTTTTTTTAGTTATTCTATCAAGTTCTAACAGCGGCAAGCGGGGCCAGACAGTTCAAGGTCAACCGGTCTGTCTTATCGTCAAGTGCAGAACGTCATGGCTCCCCCGGAAAAACCCACCACAGTGAAGACCAGGTCAATGAGTGACAGTGACATTTTAAGTTCGTTAAATAGTCGAATGGATGATCTCTTCAAGGAAATACGTGGACTGCGAGAAGATTCTAAATCAATGGAAAAGTCAATTGAGTCAACTCACGAAAAGATTGATGAAGTCAAGGTATTGATCAACGCTCAGCGTGAAGATATTAACAAATGTTTGAACGCAGTTGACGATCTTACACAAGAAAATGTCAATTTACGTCGTGATTTGGAGAAGGTGAAGCAGGAGCTTTGTGAGATTCAGCAATACTCGCGCAGAAATACTCTAGACATACAGGGCATCCCCGAGACCTAGTCAGAGAATGTTATGGAAGTGGTGAAGCAAGTAGCGAATGTTTTGCGATTCGAACTCAGGTCGGAGATGGTGGACGCGGTACACAGACTCGCCGGTGGCAGTGACACTTCGAGGCCGCGGGGCATCATTCTCAAGTTCGTTCGACGCGGTGACTGCGATGAGATGTTACGTCTTGCAAAGGTTAAACGTGGATTTTCGGCATCCGAACTCGGTGTCACCTCTGAGAACAAAGTTTACGTGAATCAGTCTCTCTCGAAGACCCATAGGGAACTACTGTATCTCGCTAAGTGTGCAGCGCGCGATGGACGTGTGAGGTTCGCCTGGTTCGGCAACGGGAAGGTGTTGGTTCGCAAGAGGGACGGACAGCCAGCCATCCATGTTACCTCCAGACAGCAGCTGCAGGACCTGTAGTGAGGATCTACTCTCACCACATTTCCAGTTAATGGTATCTAGTTTAACTTTATTCTATATGTGTTTGTGTATGTTATTAGTTTTTAATATTTTTTCATTTAAATCGTAACGAATAACCATTTTATATACTATCAGAATGTAAGGGGTTTAAAGTCTAAAGTAAATACTCTTTTCAGTAACATCTTAACATTAGAATCAGACATTGTTAGTTTGACAGAAACATGGCTGGATGAATCTGTTTACGACTCGGAGTTATTCCCAGATGGGTGGTCAGTGTTCAGATGTGACGGGAGGGACAGGGTCCGCGGACGGGGGGTATTGGTCGCGGTCAGAGATAATGTTTGGCGTGCTGAACATATGCCTATTATTGTAGACAATGTTAATATTTCAGTATTATGTCTTAAGCTAAGTAACCCTGCTAGTTTTAGTTTCTATCTCTGCGTAGTCTACATACCACCTAACTCAAACATAGCCACTTATAACTCATTTTATCAATCATTGGAAAATAAATTTTTTGTTAATGATAGAATTGTAATAGTTGGAGATTTCAATCTCCCTCTAATTGAAAACAGTAAATTTAACTTTCGAAATGGAGGAGATTTGTATAGATATTTTTACGATTTTTTGCAATTTCATAACTTAAGATTACACAATGACATATTTAACATTAATAATAGAACATTAGATTTAGTAATTAGTAATTTAAGCGGTTTGTTAGTAGAAAAATCCAGTGAAACTTTAGTTCCCGTTGATAATCATCATCCAGTCTTATCTGTGAGTCTTATCTTGTCAAAAGACAAGTGGCGTGTTGTTCCAACCAACGAAGTTAGCTATAGTTTTTCTAGTGTAGATTTTTTAGACTTATATTGGACATTTCAATCAGCCAACTGGAATAGAGTGCTTCAGATAAATAATGTTGACGAGGCAGTTGCTTGTTTTTATGAAATTTTTTATTCTTGTTTGAATCAACATACTCGTGTGCGGAGGCAACGTTATTCTAAATATCCTCTTTGGTACACTAAGGAAATAATAACAATTTTAAAAGAAAAGGAGAAATTCAGAAAGTTATTTAAAACCTCAAATAACGCTATACATTTGGAACACTTTCGTCAGTGCAGATCAACACTTAAGCGTTTAGTTAATCAAAGTTATGATAGTTTCATACGTCGAACGGAAGAGTCACTTGCAGGCAACCCTAAGAAATTTTGGAGTTTTATTAACTCGAAAAAGGTTTCAAAAATTAATCCTTCAGGTCAACGATTCACGTCGGGAAATGACACTTTTGATGATGGTTTGAGTGCGACAGAGGGATTTGCTCGGTATTTTAGTTCAGTTTACGAGCTCGGTGACTCCTTGGACCCACATGTGATTAATGAGTCTCCAGTGATGGTTGGAGTGAATAATTTTAATTTTCGTTCGATTTCTGTTAGCGAAGTTTCCGCTGCGATCCGTAAACTTCCTTTCAAGCGTTCCTATGGCCCCGATTTAATTCCTATTTATATTATTAAAGGTTGTTCAGAATTTGTTGAAAAACCACTTTGTCATATTTTTAATCTATGTTTAGCCGCTAAGACCTTTCCAGATTGTTGGAAGGTCACTAAAATAACCCCAATATTGAAGAAAGGTAATAGATTAGAAATCCCAAATTACAGACCTGTAGCAGTTTTATGTACCCCAGCCAAAGTGTTCGAACTTATTATCTTTGACCACGTCTTTTCTCATATGAAGCAGTACATCAGCCCCCGACAGCATGGCTTCATGCCTGCTCGGTCTATAAATACCAATCTGATCAACTTTGTTAATTTCACTTCCTCTGCAATGGACTCAAGGCTTCAAGTAGATGTCGTTTACACTGACATGTCTAAAGCTTTTGATAAGGTAGACCACTTCCTTCTTTTGAAGAAAATGCATTTTTATGGATTTTCAGCTGATATGATAGGATTTTCCATTTCATATCTCCAGAACAGGCGGCAGTACGTTTCATTTTTAGGTTACAAATCTGATATGTTTCTGGCTCCTTCTGGTGTTCCACAAGGCAGTAATCTAGGGCCGTTATGTTTTAATATATTTATCAATGATTTAGCTTGTATACTAAAAAGTAATTTTCTTATGTACGCAGATGATTTAAAGATTTTCTCTGCCATTAAGTTGTCTTCTGATTGTACACTTCTACAAAATGATCTCGATTTGCTTTATCAATGGTGCTGTCTGAATAAATTAAACTTAAATGTATCTAAATGTTCCACTATGTCCTTTTATAGATCACTAAATCCCACTGTGTTTCCTTATAACATCAATGGTACAATTTTAGAAAGAGTAAAACGTTTTAGGGACTTAGGAGTTATCATGACATCAGACTTGCAGTTTAATGAACATATAGCGAACATGGTTAATAGGTCTTTTAGTACGTTGGGCTTCATAACTAGAACCTGTAAGCTATTCCACGATCCACTTACTTTCTTAACTCTTTATAAGTCACTAGTCAGATCAAAGCTCGAGTTTGCAAGTATAGTGTGGTCACCTCACACATCGTTCTATGTAGAAATGATTGAAAGAGTTCAGAAGCGATTCTTGAGGACTTTGTATTTCAAGGCTTTTGGGGTTCGTGTTTATCCTATTTGGTCAATAGGATATGAAGAGCTTCTACATTTGTTTGAATTCCATCGCTTAGAGGTCAGGAGGAAGGTGGCAAGCCTATGTTTTCTGAAGGGTGTCATGACTGGGTCCGTGGACGATGCTGAGCTCTTGGCCAACGTGCCGTGGCATGTGCCGAGACGCGGTGGTCGCGCTAGTAGGCTACTGTATGTGGATTACGCTAGGACGGTGGGGCACGCGACTTCGCCTATGTTATCAGCGTTCACTTTGATGAATCTTGTATCTGCTCATATTGACTTCACTACTGGACTCAGACAATTTAGGAATAAGTGTTTTGACATTATT